GCGGCTTAATATTCACAGACACTACTCCATATCGCGTTTTGATTCAAGTGTACTGACCTTCTTTTGATTTATTCGTCCAAAATGTGGCATATTCCGTCTGCGTTAGGCTATAGGAATTCCGTTTTTATGACTGGATTCTACAAACCAGTCAGTGTTTTCCACATTGCGGAAATTATAGAGCCGTTTGTCTCGCTATCATTTTCATAAGTAACTTTAATTTAATTACACATTTTTTCTTAGTAACTGTAACTGATTACAGTTACATTTATTTTGTAATTAAATTAGGTAACGCCGTTACATGTAACTAGTTACTCCCCAACACTGCTGATTGTGAAAATCAAACAATAGACACCTCTAATAAACTAATATTTGTTGACCGTGATTTTGAAACAACACCCTTGTACTTCCAGGAAAAATATTATTTTTAACTAATTAGCCGTAAGCTCAATGCTAGTCTTTAGAAATATTAAAATAGATGAGTTATTATGCATCTTTATTTTCACTGAAAATACATTGGTATACTTGTGTTGGTATAAAAAATTACTTGTATTGTCAATGCATTTGTATAAAACATTCATGTAGGCAAATTCATGATATAAAAATATAACTATTTATTGGTATTTAATATTTAAAAAAGTAAAAATAAAATAGATAATTGCATAAAATATAAAGTCTGTTTATACATATGGTTAATATACATACATATATATGTTGTGAATGGAATGTTATTATAAAGTACTTGTATATACATAGGCCTACGGTTAGAAGAAACAAACAAAAAATCTACCAGTTTAAGAACATCACAGCATGCTTTGGTGTAAATTATATTTATGGAGACCTAAAATATTTATTATTAAAAACTCTGCCCCAACAGATACATCCAATATAAATATTTTCATTCCCTGGTAAAAAGTGGCATTTCTTGTTCTGCTGCTTGGTGCATCTGCATTAACGGATTTAGATGTTTTTGCGCATCCCATCCCAAACTGTACATGAAATCACAGATTATTATTACACTAACAATTAGAACTCAAGGATTGTTCGAAAAGCTTTCACTTCTTATGGGAAATGTCTTTCAAGGACCAACTTAAGAGACACTTTTGATTTAGAAACATGCCATACCTAACAAAAACAGTGATTCTATTTATGGCACATGCATGATGGAAGCATGAGGAACATCAACAGAGTAGCAACCTGTCCTCCTCGACCACATCCTCGAGTAAACAGTCAAATCACACAGAAGCTTTGGATTTCTGTGCTTTTAACACACAGCAGGTGCTCAAGGGCTAATCTCCACCTTGAATTACGAGGACACTAAATGCTACTTTTATTTCAACAAGAGTTGCCTCTAACAACTAATTAAACCCTCCGAGGAAGGGTAAAAAAAAAGGAAAAAAAAGCATTTCTTGTGCAGTTGAGTAGCCAAAGCAGGCAGGATTTTCTGCTCATTACTGTATAAAACAGGTCTATTGTCTGGCGAGAGACATCTGCTGAGAACAGATTGGGACAATCTGCGGCCCGCATTCCAATTTTAAAGGATTTTTGCCTATTCAGTGTGCCTGTAAGTGTGGGCTTTGAAGAGTTTGAGCTAGCAAATGACATGTGGGAGGGCTCAGATTAAAATCTGAAAGGTGCAAAAACCTAAAGAACTAGGGGAAGTACTCCCATTTGACCCCAGTGCAAAAAAAAAAGTCCTGTAGGGGGACTACTGTATGTGTACTGTGCAGAAAAACCCTGAACTAAAAAAAATGCCAATCCTGACACTTTGATCCGAGAGGAAGCGAATACAACACTTTGATGCCCATCTGCTTGGCCGGAACCCCAGCTGAGCAAATTTCCCCATGGCTGCCATCGTACCAGCTTCTGTACTTTTAATTTGAGCAATATGGGCCAATTAATAACCTCCCAGAACAGAGAAACATAAACATCTAATGATAATAACTAGGCCTTGGACTCGGCTGGTGGGTTGCAATATTCAGTATTTTCCTTCTTTTGTTGTTACAGTTTGCAACATTGGCATTTTTTGCACGTAAAATCTCAACGCTGCAGATATGCTGGGGAGGTTTGAGATGATGCTATGATTGGACATGCCTCCATGTGGCCCTTAGTAGAAAAGCTAAGGATTCTAGAACTGTATCGACTCACAGCATGGGGAATACAAACTCTTCACTCTTGACCTCTACTTCTGCACATATTAATGGGAGTGTTTGCTCACATTCTGCCCCTCTTTATCTCTGTCGACGATCCGTATCAGCAACAGTCGAGGCCTAGCGAGATTAAACGGAATAGCGCATGAAGCGAGTTGCCTAGACAAGTCCCTGAATTCTGCTGGGAGTGAAACGGCCCCAAATTAACAGTTAATAAAGAACAAGTGTTTGGCTCACCACATTTCATGATAACCAGTGGGTAAATTACAGGGCGAGACATTAAAAGCGCAGTTCTTTTCTGTTGTTCTGCTGTCTCTATGGGAGGCCTTTAAACTGCGGTTCCTCACTGCTGATATCACACAAAGCACTTTGGATGACAGACAGGGTGAATAATTCAACTGTGATATGGCCAAACATATGCAAGTAAGTCAATGCAAACACTTCAACACTGACTATGAACACAATTAATGTGTTAAAGGGATAGTTCACCCAAAATGAAAATTCTGTCATTAATTACTCACCCTCATGTTGTTCCAAACTTTTAAGACCTTCGTTCATCTTCGGAACACAAATTAAGATATTTTTGAAAATACGAGAGCTTTCTGACCCTGCATAGACAGCAACACAACTACCACGTTCAAGGCACAGAAACGTAGTGTAGCGTCTGGACCAATCAAACACACAATATATATTTTGTTTTTATATTTAACAAATACTCTGTAACCCCCCTCAGTTAACAAGCCATATGAGGACCCATGAACCCTTCCCCCCGAAATGCGTAACACCCCAGGAAGCCGAACAGGCCCCTGGTTGCATGGCAACCAACGCTGATATCACTGGGTTTATTGGCCAAAAGAATGCAAAGCAGGGAAAATCCCTGCATGTCCCAGGGCAAGAGGCAGAGTAGAAATGGACTTTTCTACTAATTAATTCATAGGAAAACCTTTCTTTGAATGAACACACATGATCCTTCAGGTCATTGGGTATATTACAGAGGGTTAATCATGCAGATTTATGCTACAATCTTTTGTAGAATTGTACAGTAAGAAAGTTATTTCCCTTAACCAGGAAACTAACGTTCTTAGAATTGACAAGACAGTTGACCCTGAGAGGTCAGCTAAATATCTACAGCGGATCTAAAATATGAATAATTAATTATAACTAGTTATGGTTAATTATTCATATTTCCTCATGAGCTGAGTCGCTACAGTAGTAAGGATATTGTTCAAATAGTCCATGTGACATCAGTGGTTCAATGTTAATTTTATGAAGCTACAAGAATACTTTTTGTGTGCAAAGAAAACTAAAATAATGACTTTCTATAAATTACTTTAACAATTTCCTCTCTTCAGTATCAGTCTTCGATGTGCATTCACACATATGATTCAAAAGTGGTTTTTGCTCTACACTGAATCAATTTGATACAGTACTATACAACTTATAGTATTTTTTTTATATCTTAGGCAAGAAGAAGAAAGATGTACTAAAACAAATTCAAACTGTTTATCACAATCCAAGCCACCCTAGAGAATATTGCTGAACTATATCACCATTTATTTGCACTTGTAACAATTATTTAAATGTATTTAAATTTATTAATTTAAATGTATTTATGTATATACACTACTTTTCAAAGGTTTGGGGTCAGTTAGTTAGTTTTTTTTAAAGAAATAGCATGCATTAAATTGACCAAAATCCACAGCAAAGACATTTATAATGTAACAAAAGATTTAATTTTCAAATAAATACTGTCATTTTTAAACTGTCAAATTCATCAAAGAATCATGGTTTCCAAAATATCATGTTTCCACAAAAATATAAAGCAGCACAAAGTTATATGCAAATCATCATACTAGAATGATTTCTGATGGACCATGTGAGACTGAATAATGGAGAAATTTAGCATTCAAATAAATAATAATAAACTACATAAACTACATTTTTACTGTTTTATATGGCATTTTTCATATAAATGGAGCCTTTGTGAGCATTAGAGAAAAACAAAATCTTACCAAACCTAAACTTTTGGTGGTGCATTATAAATATATTACACAAACAGATCAATTCATTCCAATTTTAGCATTTTAAATCACTATCTGGCCAATGCAAACAATTCAAGATATAAAAGTCATATTTCAAGCAGGATTTTACTAGTTTCAACACTTTTAGCACATAAAGACTGTAAAGCTTTGAAAGCAAATAATCATTTGCTCTAGAAGCTCTTCTGCCCCCAGTAAGTCACACAGAACCATCCTGAAATCACACAAAGCTATGACTTCCCCATAGTCTGCCCTCTGGCATTTGTTTGAACCAATCATTTCCCACAGAAACAGTTGATAACGGCCACCAGAAGCTCTGATATAAAAATAAATCATCGGAAGAACGGCAATAACGCTGCCGCTCCCGAGGACGCCCATGTCAGTGCTGCTGTGGTACTATGGCAACAGCAGCTGCAGGACTGAGAGGTTTTTAAAATCCTTAAAAGAACAGAAGAACAACAGGAATGGGAAAGGTTGTGTGAGGAAAGAGAAGCTGGAAAAAAAACAGAGGGAACGTAACCCAGGAGACATCAAGACCTTGGACAACTCGAGATTCTCTGATCTGGAAAAGTGACCTTCCTGTGAAAAAAAACACGACCCAACGATACACAAACCCTGCCTGAAATACTAAACAAAGTGTGGTGTTAATGTAGACCTCCAAGGTGCCTTTCCCAGATTTTTCCCTTCTGTTATCTACTAGTAAATGGGACTCTCACTGATGCATCCTAGGCTTCATATCACATTTAGTGATCAATAAAGGAAGCCTGTGTTTTAATCGATTGATTAATCAATGGACAGAGATGGTGGTACTCACTCTGTGGGCACTGCTCACTGGTGCAGTTGAGAGATTGGAGATCCAGCCCCTGGCATTCTTTCCCACCCGTGCTGGGTGTAGGTTGGGTACATTCCCTGCTCTTCCACATGGTACAGTCGGCTCCACATGGCGACCATTTACTCCACTCGCTCCAACCTCCGTCCACTGAACATAGACATACATATACAAACAGAGGAAGTAGATTTAGCAATCTATTACACATTAGGGCACAAACATACTCAAACTCAAGTACACAAACATTAATGCGAACACTTCAAATATATGTATATGCAGTAACAACATCGGAGAACAAAAGTTGTTTTTGAAAGATGTCTCTTATGCTCACCATGTCTGCATTTATTTGATAAAAAATACAGTATAAAGTAACGTGTGAAATATTACAATTTACAATGCCTGTTTCCTATTTTAATATATTTTAAAATATAATTTATTCCTGTAGTGCAAAGGTGGATTTTCAGCAGCCACTACTCCAGTATTCAGTGTCACATGATCCATCAGAAATCATTATAATATGCTGATTTGGTGCTCAAGAAACACTTGTTAATGTTGAAAACAGCTTTTGCTGCTTAATATTTCAATGGAAACCATCCCAGCATGCACTGCATGACAATGTCATAAGACACTGATATTTGGTTAAATTTCTGTTGCGACATTGGGTGACCAAAATTGAATGTCAATTCAACTTCTAATGTCAATGTTAATTTGATGTCCAATACCGACGTCAGTTGATGTTGATATTTGTTGCTTTTAGGTTGTGTAACCAAAATCCAACTTTAAGTCAATGTCAAATTGGCATCAAATACTGATGTCAACCCAATTTTCATTCTCTACCAAAATGCAACGTCTGTCCGACATGACGTCCAATGTCAACCTGACATTACATTGACATCCTGTGCCTACTGGGATGATACACTTCCATTCAAAAGTTTGGGCTAAGTTAAAAAAAAAAAAAGAAGTTTTTATTCAGCAACAGTGCATTAAATTGATCAAAAGTGACAGTAAGACAGTTATGATATAAAAAAACCTTTCTATTAATCAAAAAATCCTAAAAAAAGTATCACAGTTTCCACAAAATATTAAGCAGCAAAGACTACTGCAGCCTTGATATACATAAGAGAGAACTTTCAAAAATTTGTAAACATCCTAATTATTCCAAACTTTTGGCTGCCAGAGTATCTCAACACTCCATTAAATTAGATGTTGTTATTCAGGTTGCTAGTTATAAATATTTTGACTTTACAGTAGCTAACATATCTCAGCCACACACGTGCTGTATGGCCTTCTGCTCATGTCAGTCACCGTTTTTGACATGCAGTGTATTAAATAATGCAGCTTATGCAACTTGAATGCTGTCATACTGATGGATGCAATACCTGTCTCTATGACACACTACAACTACATGCAGACGTGCCACCTCTGCAGCCGCAGTTTTACATATGCAGCACATCAACCACCACATTTGAAAACACTATACCTAGTTTTTAGCTAAGTATTAGAGACTTGAATTCAGTTATGAAGTATGACATTTTTTTTAAAACTTATGTGGCATTTCATTTCTTTCCCTGAAGTCCAATTATGTGTTAGTAAAGGTTTTTCCATCAAAAACAATCACATTTTTTACATGATCATTTTCCACCTTCTCTCTAAAGATTGATGTCTTAAAAGTACAGTAGCAAACAATTTAGTTAAATTATGGAATTAAACAGATTGTTCTGCTACTCTGCCTCCCTTTAAGAATATGTTAACGTTGTTCAGAATATTCACCAATCTCATCAAAGGCTGCATTTATTTGAATAAAAATAGCAAACAATAAACAACACTAATATTACTGTTCAAAGTAAAGTTTAAAAGAATAGCATTTAGGCTGTTGGAAATATAAATCTTATGTATCACTATAAATGTCTTTACTATCAATTTAGATTTTTAATCAATTTAATGCATTCTTGCTAAATAAAAATATTAATAAAAAAAATCTTAAATCATCTGGGTTTTGCCAAGCTACTGAATACTGATTTGATTATATATAAATGTTGTGACATCAAAACCATGTATGACACATTTGTGCAACTAAGCATCCATGAATGGTTTGGGTGGAATGAAAAAATGAGCTTTGCATTCACAATATTCAAGTATGTTTACGATACCCAGATTTCAAGTGTGAAAAGCCCATAGGAGGATAAAAGGCAGGTGGAAAATTCCGTATGTGTGTTTGTGCCCAGTCTAACGACACTCAAATGTCCTATTTCCTCCCAAGCCATTTTATTTCCATTTCTCATTCTCACAGGGCCGCGTTATTCATCAGCTGGACCAGAGGCCATTTTGGAAGTCTTATTCAGGCTGACGTTGTGCCTGGTTGTGGAAGGTTACTACAGGGCTAATGTGAGCAGCTCTGGTAATGAGCTCTCTAGGGGCGCTGAGCTGTGCCCTCACAGGACCAAGAGCAGGGTGAATTATGGTACTTGGATACAGAGTTACTGATGACTCCATTCGACAGACTGAGGATCAGACACACTAGGATGTTCATTAACCCCTGGCTTTATAGCATATTCACTGTGCGGTTCTGCTCTGCTAATGCGACCCTGACAGTACAGTGAGGTCACCGCTTGGCCAAACAACCAGCTAATAAAGTACTTACGTGGCTTAGCGATAAGAACGATGAAGAGTCGGCAGTCATAAACGGCTGTGAATAAAGGCGATATTTAGTCATAGCCTGCCAGACGAGAGTGGGTTTTTCATATTTAAATTTACAGAGAGATTATTAAGTGACACAGAATGATATTCGTACTAACAAAGAATGTGTGGAGTGCATCTAAAAGAGATGCTGACATAGCTTTTGATCAAACATTTGGCAGGGAGAGTGGCGAGGCAATAAAATAATTGTCCTTGTTTGCCATTGAGTGGACTCATTTGCGAGCAAGGCAGGCTTATATCATCACACTAGCCTGACTGAACAGGGAACTGAAGCTTAATGAATACATTACAATAAGAAGCATGTTCCTGTCTCTGATTCTCCACATGAATTTTAAAAGGCAGGTGATGAGAGATCAACAGCTAAGAGATGGAGAAAAGATTATCTTTCTTCTCTTGGAAAAACTGTACAAAGCAACTAAGAGAAAATCTCTTGACTCATCTGAGAATAAAACAGTTGCAGATAAAACACTAGCAGCAATATAGACATTAAAGTCAACACAAAACAGCATTCTCAACCCATTTGACTTTGATAACGTGACATTTTCAAATAAAAAGGATTTTTATGAAGTTGAAAAAAAAAATAGTAGGGCTTTATTTAATCCCTTGGGAATTGATTGGATTATGAAAAGTGGACATTCTGAAGCAGAATGTACCTGGACAAACTTGCAGTCGATTGTGAAGGACTACTTGGCCAACCAAGGCCCACTAGAAAAACATGCTTGAGGTGACATGTATTGCTTCTTGCATGTTTTATTGACACTTTCACAGTGAAATGTTTAGAGAGTGGTGCTAAAATTGCGTTCAGTTTTACCCAAAACCGATCAATGTGAATCTGGTAATGTTTTACTATGCTGGTTGCTGTATGCATCACGGCAGTTTGGAAATAAAGTGTCCGGTGAGTGGCACTACAAGACTAATGCTCCATCACACTTGAAAATAACATACTACCTACACTAAACCTATAATGTTAACAAAAGCAAATATGAGATAAAACACATTTGCTGAAGCAAGTCTTTGAACACTTTGATAGTGTTTCACAGATGTGTTTCATCACAACTGAAATGCTGTAGCAGGTGTGCTACTGAGCAAGTTTACATCAGAAAAGCCATACATATGGAGCTAATTATATAATGGGATATATATGATATGTATTAGGTTACAAATTAAAATGGTAAAAGTGGTAAAAGTGTTTTGAGGTCATAACACTGTGCAAGGAACTGCATGAAAATATGTGTTTTTAAACTAATAATCTGCACCTGTAATCATAATTTGTATGAACAAAAACTTTTTTTTTCTCCCAAAAAATGAGTCCCAACTCTGTCCCAGTGAGATTTGATTGGTACGATGAAGCTAAAGCTCAAAGTGCACCCTTGAACATCTCTTTGTAAAATGTCATAATTTGCTATTGTTGTGTTGAACTTTAATACATCAAATTATATTAAATACAACAGCAGCCTAAAACAATGCTTAAACAGCTATTTGGTTATTAGTTAATATTTACCAGTTGGTTATCACTGACCAATAACCTGCCATAAGTGACACCTGCCCAAAAGGAAATTCATTTCATTGGGCACTGCAAGTTATAGATGAAAGATGACAAAGTCTTTTTTTCCTCTGTAATAACGTGCACTGATGAATCGTGCAAAATAAGAGCAGGAACATTTATTGAGAAAGTAAATAGGGTCAATTTTGATTTCATGTTGACTTTAAACATGAAGTGATGAGAAGCAGAAATAGACAGTGATGGCCAATTTCCCCTTCAAAAGATGCAACAATCATATCTTAAACCTGCTTAACATGAGTGAAGGATGCAATAATAAGAAACCAAAGCAACCAAAGCCAGCAAATAATTGTCCATTCAGACTCCCTGCTATTAAGATAATATCTTTGATTTCCAATCATCCTGATGTAGGGGTGAAGATGTGTGTGTGTGTGTGTGTGTGTGTGTGTGTCGTGCCAGTGTGTCGTGTCAGTGTAGGATGCCTGTAACACAATAACGCAGTGGCAGGTCTATTTGGACGTCTTGTCAAGAGCACATCTGAAGGGCGTCCAACTGCTCTTTACAAGGGCTGCAGGAAGCCCCATTTCCACTCGCCGTTGCTGCAAATCACAATGGCCAATGCTGGACGCCTCCAGCTGCCTCGTCCTTGAGCGGGGAGGAGGAGCCGAGCGGGAGAGGCACACAATTACCTTTCAGATCAGCAGGGACGAGACGGAGTCAACACTCACATCTGTAATCTCACCTGGACCTAAACATTCCATGTTCAATAAAGCAGAGACAACAAGATTATAGATGATTCATGGGCTCTGAGCCAGAGTGGGCGGGGCCTGGGAGGGTTAGAATGAAGTCACAATGCACCGTTGCCTATCTTGTATTCGAATGAATCATGCAATATCAACACAAAAAGAACAGGTCTTCCAATACAGGAATCTAAAAGGGTTTTGGGATTCAA